TAATCACTAAAAAAGGTAAAGGTAAAGGTTCCCCTCTCACATATGCGCTAATCGTTCCCAACTCTAGAGGGCGGTGCTCATCTCTGTTTCAAAGCCGAAGAGCCAACACTGTACGAAGACGTCTCCATGGTCATATGGCTAGCATGACTAAACACCAAAGGTGCACGGAATGCTGTTACCTACCCACCAAAGGTGGTCTCTATTTTTCTACTTGCATTTGTACATGCTTTCTAATTGCTAGGTTGGCAGAAGCTGGGACAAGTAACAGGAGCTCATTCCGTTACACAATGCTAGGGATTCGAACTGCCAAACGTCCGACTTTCTGATCGACAAGCTCAGTGTCTTTGCCACTGAGCCACCACGTCCCTCACTAGCCAGGTGCAAAAGCACCTGGATTGCAATCACATGACTGCAGAGACACTGCAAAATCCAGTGCTACAGGACTGGTCGTAAATCCTCCTTGTTCAGCACCATCACAGGTTTGGACAATCACTGAACAAGCAGTCATAAGCCAAGGATCACCTACATACATACAAAAACGCATCCATTCACATATTCTTATTATTCTTACTCATCGCTGTGCTCATTAATTATCAGGAGGAAATATATACATATATATCCCCAACAACAGCACTTGAGCAGGAGAAAGCTATAGTATATTATCCATAGCCAAGTGCTTCAAGCTAAGCAGAATTAGAATCCTTTAGCGATATAATTTATCTTCAGAGCTGATCTCTAAAACAAGCAAGATGCAGGATGCTCTGAGCTGTTAGCTTTGCTGTCTCTGGGATTTACTGTTGCATAAAACAATCAATCAAACCTGCATTATTTAGAATTACTGTAACTTAGTTGTCATAGGCTCAGAGATTGGTATCACTTCCAATAAATTTTCTTTAAAATACATTCATAAAAATACTTGCTTTGGGCACAACTTGTACTATCCTAATCATGAGAACCTATCCAATAGATTAGGAGTTTATTGCAGGATATTTCGAATGAGTAATGAATTGAATACATATACTCCCTAGATTGTTCCTATTGATAGGAGGGAATGGACTGAATTTAACCACTATATCTGAAATTTCCTGTAAGAAAATGCAGACTTTAAATTGAAATTAAATAAAATGCGCCCCAACATTCTATTAAGTTATTTTCTGTACAGAAAATGTTTTCTCCAGTTTTTTTTTGGGGGGGGGGGATCTACTGTCAAGGATAATGAAATTCTTGACTACCCATCTAAGAAACAGCAAACATTATATTAAGATGCTACTCTGAATTGTTGAATCATCACTGTGTTCTTCAACCACTAGCTACCCAAGAGCAATTTGCAAACTTACCATGTTCCAAGTTTCAGTATCACTCGCCACGCCTGGTGGGTTTTCTTCTGCTGGAGATTGAGAGGACTCTGGCTCTAGGGAGCGCATGGTCCCATCCTCTGACACCTGAGATTTCTCTGTGAGTTTGTCAATGCCTGATTTTGAGAGGCAACATTAAAAAAAGAAAAAAAATTGGGCAAGACCTGGAGTAGTAATGGCTAACCTTTTTGTCGTTGTGTACCAAAAGTGTGTGTGCGTGCGACAGCTTGCGCGCCTGCCCGCACCCATAATGCATTGCGCACGTGACCCCCCCCCCGTGTACCCCCCATGCATGCACACTATGCCGCCCCGTTTTAGGCCTAGAAGGCTTCCTGCACCAACCTGGAAGCCAAAACGGGGCGCAGTTATGCAATGCAAGCACCCCCCACGCATGCGCCCCGCCCCAAATACCAGCTGGCCGGCAGGAGGCACATGCGCAGTGGAGCTGGGCTGGAGTGAAAGCTGCCGTGCCTGAAGAGAGGGCTCTGTGTGCCACCTGTGACACATGTGCCATAGGTTCGCCATCACAGACCTAGAGGGTTTAGCAACATCTTTCTTTCCATCTTTCTAGTCAAGATCAGAACACAATTCTGTCTACAGCAAGTTTCCTTAGCACTTTGCTGGGGAAACAAAAAAATTAAACCAAGTAGCTGGCAAAACTTACAATATCAGATGATTTTCAACATTGTGCAATGTTAAAAATATTGCACAATAGTTTAAAATAACACATTTAGCATTTTTTAATGAAATGACTACTGTTTATTTTTGCTTCTTCTAGACCAGGGGTGTCAAACTCATGTCATCATGGCAGCATCCCGTGACGTATCAGGACTTTTTTCCCTTTGCTAAACCGGGCGTGGATGTAGCCAGCATGTGATGCATCCAGCCCGTGGGCCAAAAGTTTGACAGCCCTGTTCTAGACATCCACTAGCTTTTAAGAAAGGAGAATCCTAAATTAACAAGTTAAATTATATAAAAGGGAAAGACAGAAATAAATAATGAAGTCATACAGATCACAGAATGAAAATTCTTTACTATCAGAAACCTACAGTAGATCCAGGTCTTAAACCATCAAAGGCTTACCCCAGTCTACCTTCTGGACTAAAGTGAAATCTTCTGTGAGCTTCAGTGTCACAGGTACTCTGGACTTACCTGGGGTTGCTACTAGGCTGGCCTTTAGTGTCCCAGGTTCTGCCGGTGCAGCAGGTCGCGACCCTTCCATGGACATCCCCTCCTGAGAGTTGGTACGAGAGATGGGCTCAGGAGCTTTCTTTTTGCGTTGCAAAGCTTTCTGGATAGACTGCAAGTCAGTGGGTAGGTTGGCCAGCTGATGAAATACATTTCGCTTGCGAATAATGGCATACACCAAATTGGAATTACCTAGGAAATCACAACAGCAGGAGGAGAAAAATAACATCCTTAACCTTCTGTAATTGGGAAACACACATTGAAAAAGATTGTGGGTAGGACTACTAGGTGAACAAAAAAACCCAAGTAATCAATGGCTTCCTGCAATTTAATGGCTGTCTGAATGTTTGCTGCTTGGATCTGACAGCCTTAATTGTGAGATGATGAGAAATTAACTATAGCTAAATCTATATGCTCAGTTTCATACTCAAGAAGTAGAGGGTTAGCATTGTTCTGTTCCCCCTACCCTTACCCCCTTTCTTCATGTTAGTCAAATTATAGCCTGGAGTTTTTGAACAGTTGTTCCTTCAGATGGTGACTTCTTCCTTTTAGCTCATCACTAGACTACTGTCCCACAAAAGAATAAACTGATATGTTATCTATTACAAAATTGATAACTTATCTGTTACAGATAACTCTGTCTGTTTCAGCATTATATCAGGAAATGTTTCTACAACATTATCCCAGCTGATGTTTCCCAGAAATTATTTAAAAACACAATGAAATAAAGTGATTGATTATATTACATTGACCAGCACACAAGATTTAGGATATCAGGCATATTTGGCTTTCTAGCTGGCTATCAAATAACTGAGAGTCTGTTTTATTCACTCAGACTTAATTCCCAATTTATAAATGACATTTATATTACAGAAACTTATATTTGAAAAGATTTCACCAACAAGTGAAAAATCAAAAGTGGGCTAAGTTGCACTTTGTAGTTTAAAAATGCCATAAAGTAATGAGTGAGAAGTGTTGAGTGCAATAGTGGTTTTCAGTAACAGGAACTTCCTTTTTCAATTAAAATAATAAAGGAACAAACTTACATTTTATATTTTATTTTACTAATCAGAAATGGCAAATCTAAGAAAGAAGGATTATTTGCACCATGTTTGATGAAGAAGCTTTGTACTTTATACCTAGATTAATATTTAATCTTGGATAAACTATCAGTGTCAGCCTCCGCTTGCTGCTGCTTTGGCTGCCATTGAAACGGGAAGGGGGGGCATGGTATTTGGGAGGGGAATCATGTTGTGCTGGAGGTAGATTCTAGATGCTGTTTGACCATCTTACTGCGCATGTGGAAGAAGGGAGTTTCCCGCCAAGGTTAACTGTCCAGCATTCCATCCTGGTGATGCC